CCAGGAAGAGTACATCCATCGAAATTGGAGTGATACAGATAAAGAAGATTAGCAGGGCCCCTGTGCAAGGATGACACGCATAAATCGAGAAATGGCCCAAATTAATACCTGCGCTGGGGCTGGTATGGCGAAGAAACCACTGGGGTGGTTTAACAAAGATGAAGCAAGCGATGCATGTTCCCCTCTCCCTTCCCCCCCAAAAAAAATAAAAATAAATAAAATAAAATAAAAAATGCAACCCATGTATGCATCCATATGTGACGACTGCATGCCCGATTTTTCTCATGCTCGCTGCGTGAAGTATTCGTAACTAATGCCGCCCGCCGAAGTCAAACTGCTTATGCCACTTTTTTTTTTTTTTTTTTTTTAATCAGATAATAAACTGATCAGAACAGATACTACACTTGATCTTAGCCAAAAGGCCGAGAAAGGTATATGTCACATTTGTCGTGCCTTGTTTCGACCTGCAAAGTTCTTTCTGTTCACCAACCTGCAAAGTTTCGGTCTGTGAATGGGACTGGGAATGGGACCGGAACGGAACCCGCCGCCGTGATTCCATTGCCTTGTTTCAACGTGCAAAGTGTTTTTGTAATCGCAGTAGGGTTTTCACGTATCCCCCCATTTGGTTCCTACGCTGCTGCATTCCATCTCTCATACCCTACTATTACTGTATGTCGCTTGGATTGTCTGCTGGGATTCATGATTATTCTCCACCTTGGTGTACCACTTCCCCTACCCACCTGCGGCCCCTGAACACGACCACCCCGCTCCTTCTCGTTGTGGTCCCCCCCCCTTTCACCCCTCTGTCCGCTGAGCGACACTATCCTTTTATGTCGTCTGCCCTGTCCTTCTGCCTGTTCTTTTGTGGTTTGCATTGACCGCTCCCTCTTTCTGTGCCCGCCTGGGCAAGCTTCTCGTCTCTTTCCCCCCCCTCTCATCCTCTCCTGCCCCCCTCCCTCCCGATTTCCCTCCGCTCCTCCGCTCTCTTTTTGCTGCGTCGCATTCCCGTTGTTTTCTGTGCCCTTTGTTGTTTTTCCATTGTCTGTGATCCCCGTGACTCTGTGGGCATGCTCTGTGTCATCTCCTCCTCGCTACCCCCTCCTTCACCCCCCTCACCCCCCCCGGCAGCTGCCCCTTCTTCCCCTTCCCACATTTTTTACTCGTGCGTTTCTTTCTTTGCATCTCATCCCCTCCCCCCCCCTCCCTCTCTTTCTCTCTCTCTCTCTCCTCTTTCTCTCTCTCTCGCCCTGGATTCCACCCAACCCTAATCCTTGTCCTGCCCCATGCTGTCAGCCATGGTTCCCTGCTCCCTGGTTCAGCATAGAGTTCGCTGCAGGGTTAACAATAAGCGGCTGAACCGGATGCTCCTCGTCTTCTCCGTCCTCCAATCGATCCTGGGGGCGGTCTCTACTGCTGCGTTTGGCCCACCATCTATTCTCTCCAGATGTATCAGGAACGTTCCAGAAGACAGCATTGCCACGCTACACGGTTATGGATGAAAATGAGGGCTTGACGCCGCTGACTACCAGCGAGATGCTCGAAATGAAGAACGAGCTCGGTGCGGCAGGTGAGCTCAGGAGGACTGCATTGGTTCGGGACGCTGAGAAAAGCAACTTCCAGGAGCGATGGATCGAAAAACCATCATCACTTTGCTATGGCCATGGGAACATCACCATTCTCACTGTCACCGTCGGCCTACCGAAGGTCAGTAGTGCGCCCCTTCCTCCTGGAGACCCCTCCCCTCCCTTGAATTGAGCATCAGCGTAAGCTAGCATTGCTTTTTTTTACGAAGTTGTTGCCCTATGATCACCCTCGAAGTCCCAAGTATCCCCCCCCCCCCCGACCGTCTTCCCTCAAACGCAACGCACCCGTCATTTCGACTCTATCGGACTGGAAAGGTGTCTTGTATAGGTATAGCAATTATGATCAAGATGCGGTATGTTTCGTGGAAGACGGTAGTCATTGCTGCTCTGTCATGGCTGGCATCACCCCCCCCTTTCACTGATCATACACTGATCATTGCTGTGACATGGCTGGCTGGCATTGGGGTCTTTCTCTCTTTTTTTTTATTCTCATGTTCTCTGACTATGTGTTCGTTTATTCTAGCATTATGCTTATCANTTTATTCTAGCATTATGCTTATCACCCCCCCCCCCCGTCCAGTTCGCCGTCACCTTCTGCTGGCGTTCTTTCTTGTACTCTCCCATTCCCTCCCTTCTCTCCTACCCTCGTCGGACTTTCCCCACGGTTGTAGAAACTGCTCATGCCATCAGGTTGCGACGTGAGGGGTGGTTCTTTTCTGCAGGGTGACACCTGGCACCTGGCCCCAACCAATCACAACCCTTGGTGACTTTTTGCAGATTGGAGCCTCTGATTGGGCCACGGTAAATCGCGGCACAAGTAGGGTACAATTCAGTTGAGGGTACAATTCAGCTTTGCCCATGCAGGTACCGCGTCTGAAATAGTTTTAACTTTTAACCTGTCACCGGTTTTCTGTGTGGCTGCCCTTTGTTTGGTTTTCGCACGAGGCGCCTCAAGTCTGTACATGGGCCTCACAAGTTAGTTAGACACTTGTCCTCTCCTCTTTCCTGGTGCTTCCCTTCCTCGGGACGGCAGGGGTAGTCGCAAACACCGCCATCTATGCCTGCAACTATAGGAGCTAGAGACGGTTGGTTTTGGTATGCATATTATGCAGTTTCATAAGTGATGAATTCTTTCTTATGTCTTGTGTTGTATTTTCATACTGGTTGATACAACAGCAAAAATTAAAGAATAGTAGAAAATGCGGCAATCCATTGATATAGAAAGCTAGATTCTTTGGCGCAGCAACTCTAGCAGGTTATGAATACGACAAAATCTCGATTGAACTCGCCCCATTTGACTGGATTTCTGCAGCCACACGTGCAGAGGGCTGCTGCACCTGCCTGTGTACCTGATAGCACACCCAGATATAGCATTGCTGCTTTGCGGCCAAGGATGCCGTATGTACTTCCTGCTCAAACGTGCATAATGCAGCGACGTGAAACAGAGTGAACGGCGAGGGAAGAAGGAAGGAAATAGAAGCGAGAAGAACGAAGGAAAACAAAAGGTTTGTCAGACTATTTGTGAGTGCGGGGTCGTGCTGATGCGAAGGCTAAAATGTTCTGTCTGTTTCCTCTGGCTCGTTGTGGTGCTGTACGTTTGGTCCCTTCAGGATTATTTAAGTGGTCTGCGGAGGAACCGTTTCGCGTACGTAAATGCGCATGGGTACCGCTACTGCGAGGTCATGACATCCCTGGACTTCGACCAACCCATCTCCGTGACGAGGATAAAGGCCATGCTTCTACTCCTCTCCTTTGCAGACATCGTCGTCCATTTGGATGCGGATGTTCTTATCATGAACAAATCGGTGTCTATCGAAAGCATTCTTGCCTTGCGCCCGTACAACATGTCAAAGAAGGATGCAATATATACGAACGACTATACAGTGCTCCGGGATGTCGATCCAGATGAGATGGCACTTATCAATACGGCAGTGTACATTATGAGAAGCACCGCATGGTCAAAGGTGAGTGCACACGGCCGTCTTGAGGGTTGACAGTTCAAAACTGTACAGGGTTTAAGATATGTCATGTGTTTGCCGGCTCTTAATTAATCTTTCCATGTGTCCATCTTCTGTCTGTGCAGCGGCCCGTGTATCTATGTCTACCTGTCTGTCTCTCTGCATGTTGCTGTAGACAACTTCTTTTATTCTGATCCGTCTTTCAATAATTTGGATATCGGTCTGTTCTGCCAGTTTCTCACTATATGCCTGGTTCCTTGATATCAGTGTGTGTGTGTGTGGTGGGCAGGCTGGTGAGTGGGTGTGCTTGTGTGGTTTCTCTTTTCTTTTTTTTTTTGTGTGTGTGGTGGGGGGAGGCAGGCTGTTGAGTGGGCGTGCTCGTGTGTTTTCACTTCGTATATGTGTGTGTGTGGGGGCAGGCTGGTGAGTGGGTGCGCTTGTGTGTTTTCAATTTGTGTGTGTCGATGGATCCGTGCATGTATCCATGTCTACCTTTACGTCTCTCTGACTTGCCATGACTTCTATATTAGGGGGAGCGGTTGTGGGCATTCGCTGCCTGATGGTTTCCGGTGTGTTGTTGTGGGGTGTCGGAAGGGGGTGAAAAAAAAAAGGGGACTCCTTGCCCGATATGCCCCCTCCCTCGCCCCCCATCCTCCATGGCCCTGCGCCCTCACAGCCCCTTGTCCCCGCTCGCGCTGGCACCGTCGTTGCAACCGCACGGGACAAAAAGCGTGACGAATTCACCCATCCCCACCGCCCTGGAGGAGCAGTTCTCCCCGCGGAAGAGCCGTACACCCCAGAGCGGGGGTCTTTTGTTTGTTTAACCACCACTACCTTTCCCGATGTTGGGAAAAGTGGGAATATAGCGTACACCGCATATTTCGGGTGCTTGGTCGAACAGTGGCCGCCCTTTCGTTTCGGGCTCCGGAACGTGCGGGGAACCCACCCCGCGGCCGATATGAGGGAAATGTAGGGGTGGTTTAAGTGACTCGGGTAATCATAAACCATAGAGTGAAACTTTCACACCCAATAATAACCACAATAAAGAATAGAGTGAAACTTTCACACCCAATAACCAGATGATTACCCGAGTCTCTCCCGAACCGTACAAGATAGTCACCGGGGTGGGCTCCTTCATATTGAGTTGGGTGTGAAAGTTTCACTCTATTCTTTATTGTGGTTTACTATGGGAGTTATGTCAGTCCACGAGGATTAGTGTGGTGTCTTGGAGTCCCCGTCCAGGCGGTGACATGCCCCTGGTAGAGTACGGTGACTCCCCTAGACTCACGGCTGTTTCCCAACCGCCACTATTATTCTTTATTTTTTTGAATTTGTCTTTTTTATACTTTCTCCCTGCCCCCTCTGCAATCCTGGGATTTGCGGTCCCAGCCCGGGACCTGGGGCAAGGATCTGGCAATCTGGGTCCTTGTCCCGGTTCCTTCCATGTCGACACTCCATGCCTTGCAGTGTGAGAACATTATGAGAGAGATGCATAATCAGAAAGGAAAGACATTGTTAGTGCCACTGCTGACAACGGTGATCTACCTGCTTAATAATGACAATAAAAAAAGGCCTGAAAGGCCGTCCTGTCCAGATTTGACAGGTAATTGAATTGGTTGGGCTTAAAATAATTAGCCTTTAAAACAAGAAAA